CGCGTCAACAAAGTAACGTGGCTTCCCTGCTCGAACCATTCGACTATCAAAAGACAGAAGAAGAAGAGAGACTTGTTTCCGACGTCGGGTCGGATACAAAACGTCTTGCTCTCATTGAGATATCTATCTCTGTCACCGATGAGGGTATTCAATTCGCATTCCTGTACAACAAGCACATGCGTCACCAGGATCGTATCACTCAGTGGATTTCGAGTTGTCGATCAGCTCTTGTCGCTACTTCCGAAAGGCTGAGTCACCTCGGTGCCACACCCACATTGAGTGATCTCCCATTACTGCCAGTCAACTACACTGAACTTCAAAAGCTTGTCAGCAAGTCTCTACCAGCTGCGCATATCACCAGCTTCGGAGACGTTGAAGATATCTTCCCTTGCTCACCGATGCAGGTGGGTATTCTCCTGAGCCAAATCCAGGATCCTAGTAAATATCTCTTCCACACCGTTCTGGAGGTAGTTCCAGCGCCAGACGGTGGCAAGGTTGATGCCAAGAGACTATCCCAGGCTTGCAAGGAAGTGATCAACCACCACGCGGCTTTACGAACGATCTTTATCAACAGTGTCTATCGTTCCGGTACCTTTGACCAGGTGGTCTTGAAGCCTTGCAACACCAGAGTCCGCCTGATCAGGTGCAGAGAAATTCAGGTGATGGCAAAACTCAACAACATATCCCTAGAAGAAACAAATAAGCGTGCTGGCCCACAACTACCTTACCAGATCACCATCTGCCAGACTCCTCAAGGAAAGGTGTTCATGAAAATGGAGATGAATCATGCTATTACGGATGGCGCTTCAACTTCACTACTCATGCGCGACATCACAAGGGCTTACGATAACGCATTGTCTGATGCCAAGCCCCGATCCTACAAGGAGTACATCAAATACATCAACACACAGCCGACTGAAGAGAATATTGGGTTTTGGATGACATATCTCAGGGGAGTACAGCCTACCGAATTCCCGGCCTCTGCTCAAGATCCTGCCGGGGAAAGAACTCTCAACTCTGTGGAAGTTGATTTCGAGAGCTTTGCCCAACTACATTCCCTCGCCTCAAGCTACGGTGTCACCTTATCTAGTGTGATACTGGTAGCTTGGGCTCTTGTTCTCCGTAAGTATACGAGATTGGAGGACCTCTGTTTCGGATACCTTGCCTCCGGGCGGGACGCGGAAGTCGACGGAATTGACGACATCATGGGACCCTTTATCAACATGCTTGTCTTCCGCTTCCGCTTCGAGCCCCATATGCGCCTCAAAGATCTTCTCGATGGCGCACAAGAAGATTACCTTGCCAGTTTGCCTCATCAACATGTTTCTCTGGCTCGCGTCAACAATGCGCTCGGATGGACAAAGCGCAGCCTGTTCAATACCGCTGTGTCAATCCAAAATTCAAGTTCAGCGGGCAGCTCTGCACCAGCTTCTCTTAGCTACGAGCCGGTTGAGGCACATGACCCTAGCGAATATTCTGTCACTGTCAATGTGAATACCGCTCGGGAGGACGAGGGTATCTTGTTCCGATACTGGTCCGACATTCTGTCTTCGGACCAGGCTGAAGATCTTGCGGAGGCGTTTTCAGAATTGCTTCATGATTTCATCGACCACGCTGAGGACAGCATCTCGCGCTTGCGTCTCTTCCAAGGGTTATCGACCCCAAGTGATGACAGCCTCAGCACCCCTGACACCGTGGACTTGTGGTCGCCAGATCGAAAACCAATTGATACGAGGCCTCTCTCGGCTACTAATCTAACCACCAACTTGGAAAATCTACGTTTCTCGGCCACCAAGAAACTTGACCATCTAACCCGTCTTCGAGAATTGCTATCTGACAAGCTCTCCACAGTGTGGAAAGAAACACTGAGCCTCGAGGAGACCACCATTGCTTACGAGGATAGCTTCTTCGAGCTTGGAGGAGACTCTATCATTGCAATGTCAATGGTTGGAATTGCGAGGGAAGCTGAACTATCCCTGACCGTTGCCGACATTTTCCAGAACGCCACTTTTGGAGAAATGGTCGAGTGCTTGCTAGAAAAGTCTGCCGAAGAATACGAGCCATCATCAAGCGACGATGAAACTTACTACTCCAAGAAGGACAGCAGGGCAGGAGATGGAGACTCCTACGAGCCCCTATCCTTGGTGGATCAAGAAGATGTCGAGAACTTTATTCGCGATTGCATATGTCCCATTGCTCGCGTGTCTCGGGCCAGTATCGTGGACGTGCTTCCGACAACAGACTTCCAAACACAATCCATAGAAGGAAGCCTCCTCGATTCACGCTGGATGCTGAACATGTTTTATTTGGATGGCTCTGGTCATCTGGACCTCGGCTTACTCCGAGAAAGTGTCGCCAATATTGTAGCAACTTATGATATTCTTCGAACCGTTTTCGTCCCCCACGGAGATGAGTATCTTCAAGTTGTTCTCCGACAACTCCAACCAGAATTTAGAGTGGACACTGAAGTTGAAGACATTGAGCAGTATACAAAGTGCCTTGAGCAAGAAAATCTTCAGGAGACACCAAGACTGGGTGAATCATACGTGCGCTTCATAGTGGCACAAGCCAAGTCATCCAGCCACCATAGGATCTTCCTGCGGATTTCCCACGCGCAGTATGACGGAGTCTGCTTCCCAACCATTCTCCAAGCATTAAAAGACTGCTACGAAGGGAAGCCAATTATGCCAACACCTCCATACGCAAGCTACGTGCACGGTGCATTGGGTAAAATCACTTCCCAGCATTACGCTTACTGGAAAAGGCTTCTTGAGGGATCTAAAATGACGGATGTTGTTCAGAGAGACCGTACAACACTAGCCACGCGCCCGATCAAGGTCTTGAAGCAAGAAGTGTCAAGTCACTCTCTGGCCTCTTTGAACATCACTACTGCCACCGTCATCAAGGCGGCGTGGTCTCAGGTCTTGGCACAGATTACGGGAACGTCAGATATCTTGTTCGGCCACCTCATTAGTGGTCGTAACATTACCGATGTGCCTGGAATTGAGAGTGTCGTGGGTCCCTGCCTTAATATGGTCCCAGTTCGCGTGCCTCTCCAGGCTTCGTGGACTGTGATTGACCTTTTACGATACATTCAAGGACAGCAAGTCGACAACATGGCTTATGAATCTCTCGGATTCCGCAAGATAATTGAAAAGTGTGCTGAATGGGGTCAAGAACGCACTGATAAGAACTTTTCCACCATTGTTCAGCACCAAAGCATGGCCCAGACGGGTGGCTTGACAATAAATGACAACTCATACACCGTTGGAGCTGTCTCTTCGCAAGTAGATCCCGCTGATTTCAGCGTCGTTACTACGCCCAAAGGTGCCGATAGGCTTGAAGTCTGCTTGCTCTATGCGCAAGACGACCTCATCTCTCCTTTGTTTGCCGGAAAGGTTTTCGATACTTTGTGCAAGACGATTGAGCTCTTCTCTTCGAAACCACAGAGTTTGTTGTCGATTGGACAGGAAGAATTTTAATCATGTTTTCCATTTTTTGCTATGACTTTATTTCCTTTTCTTAGTTTAGTTAAAAGATATATTGGTAGTATATTTCTTTATATTGGATAACACGAGGACTCATAAATATATCTATATACATACAAGCTCTTTCTAGTTGGTCACTATTTCTACTATTTATTGATGCCCCCATATCCCGCGTGCGTTCAGCGTTTCTTGTAGAACCCGTAGCATTCAAACTCATTATTCACCATCATAGTAGCATATTTCGTCCAATCAATATCAATTCTTGACAAACTTACCAGTGTATAGCATCGATTTATCTCCACGCCATGTTCCCAAACCCCCCTATATGAAGCTGTGTACAATTATTCCGTATCAAATGAAAACCTTTCGAATATCGTTACACGTAAACGCAAGACAATTATTGAGGGTAAATATTCCCGAAACGATTCGAAGTTTTACTTCGCTTCGTTTACAAGCTGCCCCTGGATGACCACCATCGATTCATTGCGTCGCCGAAGCTCAATATTTATTCATGAGACAATTATTATTGTATCTAGCATTCTGATATTCAAAAAAAAAATGTTCAAACACAAATTTATCTCTACTTTTCTCAAATCGTTCAGCCACAGTGTCGGTACAAAGACCCGCGACTTCCTCATACCTTTTCAAACATTAGTTCGCTGCATCTAGCTCGTGTGTTTTCAAGGTGGATATCAACTATATGAAGTTGTGACATGTCAGCGGCACCCAAAAGAGTTAATATTGACCGGAAGGCAAGAAGGCTGTACCTCTACGTCCGCCGCACGGCCATAGTCAATGGGAGTTGCATGATTTATCAATGGATCTACTGAAGCGCACGAACGACCTTGCTGTCAAACAAGAATGGTCGTGCGTACACTATCGTGCGGTATGATTGGCTCTTTTTTACGACACTTGCAGAGGCTCAGCCGGATAAGTCAGCCGAAATGCTTACGCAATACGACTGTATTCTTCCGTTTGTAGTGAATACTGCCAACAAACCCGCTTGAACTCCGGTGAGATTGACATAATCAGTAAAGATGCCTCCAGCGGTGAGCAGCAAAACCCACCTGAGCTCCGGGATCCACTCGAATTCCGTGACCAGCGACCTTGATACTCGATTAGGATAATGAGGGTTACAGACAACCCTGACTTCCATCCTTCTCGAGTATAGTTATGGTCGTCACCGCTTACATCTTACTCTTCTTATGCCCCTACTAAGTTACTCAACTAATACTTAACAGGTACTCGTCTCACTATTGGAACCCTGAAGCTAGTCCGTCATGCAAACGGCTCAGTAGGTAGTTAAAGCAGCTTTTTAGATCAGAATAGCTTAAATAAATACCACTCTGACTCCGCATTCAAGAGCGAAATTTCGCAACTCCCTTTCCCAATACCTCCTGTAAACCAGTCCTAACTACCTCTCGAAATTATCGCCTTGCACAAGGCGTCGAGAAGCCGCGGCATCACTCATCTACTCTCAACGATTCATAGTAGAACCTAAAGTTAATCAAGATGACAACTGTTGTTATTGTTCCCGGATCGTTCAGCATTCCTAGCTTGTACGACAGCTTCGTTCAAGATCTTGAAAAGAATGGCGTACGTGCCGTCGTTGTCAAACTTGCATCAGTTGGTCGCAAGGAAACTCCAGGCACCTTGTCCGACGACGTCGATGCCATCTCCGAGGTCGTTACACCCTTATTAGATGCCGGCCAAGAGGTGGTATTGCTCACTCATTCCTATGGTGGCGTTCCCGGCTCGCAGAGTCTAGAGAAGCTATCAGACAAAGCAAGACGAGCAAACGGGGGCAAGGGTATCAAGAAGATCATTTACATGGCGTCGGTCATTCTACCGGTCGGCACGTCTAATATGGACGCGACCAGGGCTTCAATTCCTGACTGGATGACCTTCGAGGTAGAGATACTATCCATCGCTCTTATTTATGAAGTGTCTAACTAATTCATTGTAGGAGCACTACATGGTATTGGATACCGCCGAAGTCGCCAAAATTACGTTTTCTGATATGCCTGCTGAGGTAGGATTAGAACTGGCAAAGAATATGGACGTTCAGTCCATTGCCAGTTTTGAGGAAAAGCTGACATACCCTGGCTATAATGACGCCGATGAAATCCACTATATCCTATGCGAGGAGGATAAGGTGATCCTACCGCAGTTTCAGGAGGCCATGCTGGAATTGCTTAAAGCATCGACCGGGAAGGATCCGATTGTTCACAGAATCAAGACCGGGCATGCGCCCAGTGCTAGCTCAAGTGGCCTTGTGATTGACATTGTAAAGAAGGTGCTTGAGGGGAAATAGGGCAAGTTGACGTCTCTGCCATGCCATACCGTTGACTTTTCAAAAAAAGAAAAAAATCCAATGAATTGCCGCCCAAATAAGTTTCTAAGTGACTAGATGCTCCAAAAAGTCGAGATGCCGAATGATTTCAGCCAAGAACAGTCTGTCCAAGCATAATGAGTACGAATTCATCTACTTAACCTACTTAATTGTGTCATGTGGCCAACTCGCATGTGATGTGGCCCAAAAACTGTTTTCTTGTAGCTGTTTTGGTTATCTTCCCCTTTTCTTTCAAACTTCCATAAAAATTCACCTCTGCTGCCCAATAAGCCGTATCGGCTGTCCAGTTTCCAAAATTTCAGGGCCAAATGCTGGAGTTTGGTCCGCGTGATGGTTACCACACACGCCAAATCGCCTTCTCACAGTTATTAGCACTTTAGAACAGGTAACTTTCCAGCAAGATGCAGCCAACAGCTGCTTTCCACAAAATATCAACTTGAACAGGAAATATATTTCGAGGTCTTGGAGTTTAACCATTCATTGAACTATCTCAAGGTAAACCAGCTTTCATCATAGACAGAGGTTGGACCGCCGAAACTTTCATATCATACAGCTTCGGTCTACGGTATTATTTGCACAATATGTTTACAAAGTCGCTGTGCTGTCCTCTCATGGCACGTGTTCTTCATCTTCTGCGTTAACTACTCAACAATTACGCAATAAAACTTATGTCTAAAATGTCTTGAAAACATACTTATTTTAGCCTTTCAGCTTGCCCTATTGACAGCTCTATGGCAAAGGACGCTTGGGGTGAAATACAGTCCTGGGCTCGCAAATCTTGATGGGCTACATAAGCATGCTAAATCAACCACCACTTGGCCTACTTTCTCTAAAGCAGATCCAGTGAGATACATCAGTCTGATACAGAATCTATCTCTTCTATCTAGGAAATTGTGCACAAGCCAAGTAACATCCTCTCCATCTCTGTCCCCTTTCCATAACCGTAAAGGGTGGAGCTTAGCATTTTGGAGTCCTTCATATAAAGCGGCGGCTGTCAGAGGCTATTCCGGATACCTACGTAAAGACTATTACATCGTGGCGATCGCACTCATCGTCTCAACTGTGGTTTCATCTGTATAATCATACGTTGGCCATCAATTTCTCTAGCTTAGGAACGCTATACTACAGAGCATAATCATCCAGAAATAATATCTCCGTCGTGAGGACATTGTATTTGAACTGCGCGAACAATCAATCCAGAGGCTCTAGCCTGGACTGTATACCTCCAGATAGATCCAGCCCGGCTTCCACCCACTGCCAGCACAAATCAATACTCAACATAAAAGAGCTAGTTGCCCTAATTGCCCTTATAACCAGCGCTATTCAAATGCCATCAGGGCAAAACTCAGAATGATAGTTTGAACCGGCGATATCTTGCTAAAGAGACACTGGCCCACGTACGATCGTATCACGAGCAGTCCTGCTAGATGGCTCACTCGCAGCATTGTCTTCGCTGAGACTTATTCCTTAGAAATTCTCCTCGGGAGCCTTGAATCTAGGCAGCATAATCCCTATGAACTAAGGGATACCTCTACGCGACAATAAGTTGCAGGATCCTCAAAGAGTGAAAGTGAAAGGGGGCGAAGTAGATCCCATGGGGAAGTGTAAGCTGTTGGATTCGTCCGAACGCGAGGTGTCACAACGAGATTATCGCTCAACAGCGCGTAAAATTTTGTTATGCACCTTACCACTATAAGCCCTACTAAAAATGCCTTTTGAGTTCTGAATAAGGAAAGCAAGAGCAGTCGGCTTGGCACATAAGGGGTCAGCCGAGAAGAGGGGTTATTGGATAACAACCAACAGACAATCACAAGAGATTGAATACACACACATTATTGACCAAAATACGCGCTTGGTATCAGCCGAAAATATGAGCTCCACTAGTGCTAGTGAGCGTAATTCACTTCCCTTTTTGGCCAGGGCGGACTGATAACAGCCTGCTAATTAAAATATCCCCTGTTTTCGCTTCCGAGAGCCGCGGAACACCGCGGAAAGCTGCCCTACCCTAAATTCCTCCTGCCTGCATCAGGTCAGATGAGTCCAAGAACATAATCAAAACAACCAGTTGTGTATAGGATTGAAGTAAGTCTAAGCTAGTATATGATGAAAGCTTTAAGAGTGTAAACATATTTAATTATTTGTGCAAAGGCTATTCCGGTTGTCAAGTAAAGCATCGTTTCGTTTATCTCGAAAGTACATCCTTGTGACCATCACAAGAAAGGTAACAACGTCATAGTCAAAACAATACGTAGAATATGAGCCCACAACCGAGATGTTATTTAAGAAGACTGAACTAAGATCGCTGCATGTTTATTACTAATAAATATGAACTTTTCCGATTTTCTATCGCGTGGGGGCGTTGTAGAATAACCTCAGATGAGGTTTATAAAACTTAAGTTAACTAAACTCAAGAGTAACCGATTCATGATTCCCATGGTCTTTATAGGCGATTGCTTCATAACTCGCCGTCTGAAATCAAGCAATGAAGCGTTGGTTCGGTGGCAAATGTCTATACGAAACGGTGAGTGAGTCATTGGTTGTAGCTTACTCGAACCTTGTCGGGCTCTGGCAGCTTCCATTGTTGTTGAATTTTATTCTCTTTTCCCTTACGTAGCCCACTCGAACACCCCAGATACCTTAAGAGGGCTTCGTTTAAACGCTTGCTTACCTCTTCTATATGGACTATGACCACTATAAGATCAAAAATCTATTTACAAGCTCACTATCTTAGATCAGAACCTCTTCTTGAGGTCTCTATTCCTCGGTTGGTAACTGCAGCCTCTTCAATCACTCCTTCAATTGGGTCAAGGCTGCTTAAGGAAATCCGAAAGCCTGAGTGGGTGGGATCTTGCCTTCAGGGAGGTTGTAATATGTTGATATTTCCGCTTGCGAAGGCTGACACGTATTAGTCTTTTCAAAATGTTCTGATTGCGTCTTTGAAAACGAGTCCGTCTTGGAACCTAGATAATGCAGAGATCAGATGTGTAGGGCCGGAGCCGAAGTTACTCATTTGACATTTCCAAATTAGCATAGGATCTCAAAGAGAATTCTCTTCCATGTAATTCAGAAATTGTTAATCCAATAAGAAATATTGCAGGAAAGTGAACTAATCGCAACAACTAATCGCACATTACAACGGGAATATAACTATTCCTTCCTCCTCGCCGAACGTGCGCCCATCTTATCCCGCACAATCTCCTGCATCCAACCCGGCCATCCCCTAAAACCAGTGACGATCGAGTGGTTCTCAGGAAGCACCAGCGTACCGCCCCTCCGGCTGAGAATCCGGCCAACGATCTTGTCAGCGACAACATCAGCGCTGAGAATGAGCGTGCCCTCCTGGTCAAGATGAGCCTCAAAGTCCTTGATGATGGGTGTCCGAACAAACTCGGGGTGGACCGATGTGGTGAGCACCTTTGGCGCCTTATAGAAATACTTGAGCTCCGTCCCCAGCGTCTCGTGAAACGCACGGGCAGACGACTTGCTCCCTGCATAATCACTGCCCTTGGGCACGGAGAGGAACGACGCGCCGCTGGCGATGGTGATGACATGGCCCTTGTTCTGCTGGATCATCCACGGCAGGAACTGCTGGACCGTGAACCAGTGCGAGATGGTGTTGATGTTAAAGGTCGCATGCAGCTGCTCCTCGGTCATGTCGAGGATCTTGCACGGGCGGCAGATGCCGGCATTGTTGATCAGCACGGAGGGGTTGCCGAGCTCCTTGCGGATGGCATCGGCGGCGGCAGCGACCTCGGCCGACTTGGTGAGGTCGCACTTGTAGAAGCGTGCGCGAGGGTGCTCCTTCAGAGTAGACCCTGTGATGTCCTGGACATCGAGGATGGCAACGCGGAGACCCTTTGCGAGCAGCTTCTCGGCGGTGGCTTGGCCGATGCCGCTCGCACCGCCGGTAATAACGGCCAGCTCGTTAGGCCAGTCCCAGTCAGCAGGGGCTGCCAAACGCCAGGAGTTGGTGGCGAGGCCGTTCAGTATGCGGTTGAGCCATTGTACAAGGTTGATAACAACCAAAGCCCCAAGAGCCGTTCTTAGCCTTTCTCTACTGCTCAGGGACAGAACCAAAGCTTCTGTTCCTGAGAGGCCGGGAATACGGCCTAGGAGAGCGGCGATGGCCTGCTGGACTGCGCCGGGTGTGATGGCCGCGAGCAGAGCGCAGCCTGGGAGCAGGCTTGTGGGGAGCGACTGGCGTATCAGGGACATGGGGGGCAAGGTCGGTTAGAATGTGAGAGATTTGAGGCAGACGAGGCAGGGCGTGGGTGGAAATAGCGGTGTTGTAATGACGGGGAGCGAGCGGGGTTTAACGAAACGAAGTGAATATAAGTATAATCGTAAGCTTAGCCAAAGTCAAAGCTCCCAAACAAAGTTGGCGTGAGGTATAATGCAAGGGCCAACGGTCGGTCGTGGGCAAATCGGTTGATTCGGATCAAGGGTGATTGGAGGGGCTGCCGGGGTTGTTTGGATACGACACGGTCCAGGGGCGGTTGGTTCCAACAATATATGCAGGGTGTGTGAATAGACAGGAAGGGGAAGGTGGTAGTTGGATGGATGTACGCAGGCATTGCTGACAAGGATTTACAGTCTAGGCAACGATGGACGTTTCTGCACGTGGTGACTGACCATCCTTGGCATTATGATGGAATAAGGGGGGTTGAGCAAGTTAATGGGGGGTGGTTAGACCATCCTTAAAGACGACAACACGGGCAGGGTGTTTGATAATATGTCGGATTTTATTGCTATAGTAGAGCAATTAAATAAAATATATACATAGAAGTCATTATACAGGAACATATAGACTAAACCAGACCCAGAAGAAAGCTCTACGTAATAGTAAGAGCCCCCAGTGTGACGCATCTGCATCCACAATCCTCTTGTGTGGAGGCAGACGATCGCATCTTGGTGTCCCTCTGTTAGGATTTAGTCACTCATTACATTATTAGATCAGATATGAGAATTTATCGGCGGCAGACGTGACGTTTATTGATCATGATCGTAGATCAATTGGTATCGAACCCCCTTTTAGCGGGAGGCACACAAACGTCCAGTGGTTGACGTTGCCCACTTCTCGCTGCCAACACCCTTGTAGGTGTAGAAGAGACCTTCGCAATCGTACTTGAGCTTGATTGCCTGAAGCTTGGCGTAGTTTGATCCGTAGAAGGTCTTCTGCCAGTTGGCCTCTTGGATGTCGGCCTCGTTGACGTAGGCGTAGGAGTCGGGGACGGCGGCCTTGAGCTTGGGCATGTAGGTGTTGGTGATGGTCGACAGAGCCGTCTCCATGGCCTCGACAGTTCCCTTGGGGTCGTAGGTGGCCAGAACATTGACCTGTGAGACCGCAGTGCGCCACTGTGGGAGGACCGAGTTGGAAACCTTAGCATCAGGCGGGCTGTAGTCGGCGACACTAAAGATGACACCACCACCGGCTGAAACAATCTCAAGAATGGTAGCGGCGTACGCCTTAGGGTTGGTCTCCAGAACGGTCTTGGGCAGAAGCTGGCCTCCAACTTGGGTATCGCCAATTGGGAGAATACCGGCAGGGATGGGTCCCATGTAGGTCGCGTAGTGGTCGTAGTAGGAGAGAGTGCTGTAGGTTGGGCTGAGAGTAATGCCAATCGTCTTCAAGTCGGCCACAAAAGGAGCAAGGATTTCCTCAGCCCGTTCAGCAGTGCTGTTGTAGATCATGAAGTTCCTGACTGCCAGATAATTCGATCGGATAGCGAAGACAATCATGACACCCTGGTCGGCGAATTTGGGCAGGTAAGAAAACAGAGTCTCAACGGCCTGCTTGTACTGGTCTGCTGGGAGAAGGGTTGGGTAGAGGATGAAGGATGCACCTCCGACCTTGAGATTGTCGTGGGCTCGCACAGTCATCGAGGTCACCACTCCGTAGTTTCCAGCGCCACCTCCGCTCAGCGCCCAGTAGAGATCCTCGTTCTTGGTACGAGAGGCAGTGACGATCTCGCCCTTGGCGGTGACAACCTCGAAGGAAAGAGTTTGGTCAGCTGCGAGACCGAAGGCAGTGCTCAGAGCCGAGTGGCCACCTCCTTGGGTGTAGCCTCCAGCAAGGCCAACGGTGGCACTCTCACCCGTCACAACAACCGCGTTGTTCTCATCGGCAGCCTTGAGAATATCGTAGCCTATAACACCGGCGCCAATAGTCATGGAGCGGCCCGAGTAGTACTTGTCCTGGAACGTGGAGAAGGAGATTCCGCCAAGGCCTTGAGTGAAGATGGACAATCCACCAGCACCGGTGGAGCGGCCAAAGTAGCTGTAGTACAAGAGTTAGCACACCACTGCCCGCGCGGTTGCAGTATGAGTCTTAGTTCACTTACTCATGACCAGTGTGCTTGATGACGAGTCGGATGTTGTGTTCACGGGCAAACTTGACGGTGCTGACGACGTGCTGCTTGTTCTGCACTTTGACGGCAAAGCTGACATAGTTGCCCAACTGGCAAGGGGTGGCGCGGTCTGTAAACGGGTCACAGCTGCGGTTGGTGAAGTAGTTTTGCATGAACGAGGATGGGTGGTAGAGACTACACGTTTGTTAGTAAGTTTTCCCGTTTCCTTATTGTCTGATGCAACTTACTGGGTCATCGGGCTCGTCCAACTGTTCTGCAGAGCAGTGCACGCCGCCTCATCGTAGGTAGGATCATGGCAAGGAGAGCCAATGGGCACTGTGGCGATCAGGTTGCCTCCGACGGTAGCGTTGAAGGTGTTCCATTCGTTAGTGGTAGGCCAGCAGCTGTCGCCTGGCATGCAACGACATGAGACCGCGATAGCACACCCTTCGGTGGCACCGGAGAGAAGCAAGGCCGCCAAGGAGGCGAATGTTGAAACTCTCATTGTTCCAGGAGGCGAGTAGGGAATCCGTTTATGTTGAAAGGAATGTGAAACTTGGCAAGAAGTGCCAAGAGTGGGAATGAACGGAGAGGGAAAGGAGTGTGGGAGGTTGGCTCGTTGGGAGGTTGAAAAAGAAGGAATGTGGCAACGATGTCGAGCATGAAGAAATCTAGACGCTGATGTGTCGTCTCTTATAATCTTCCAGAAGTTTGAAGTTGTGATCCTGCAGCTAGGCTTCGAAATGAGCTGCGAACAAGATCCCCATGCGAGCCACGTGAGAAAACCATATCGATCCCGCTCGGGAAATGAGCCCCCAAATTGCCCCAATGTCGTGGCCGGTATATACGCCCGGAATCCAACACGGCATAGAGCCAAGTGGGCTAATATTGAATCCGTAGGCCGTACGCTGGGATGTTCCGCATGGCAAGCTGGGACTCTCTATGACTTGCAACCTAACCAACCGTGCGCTATGTCATGCAATGGTACCCCAACGGATCCGGTGGTGATCCTTCGGGACAGGGAGTAAGCACGCAAGCCATGAGTGTTGCAAGGGACGCCAGGGTCAGGTTGGCGTCACGTCGATTAAATGGGACTTTTGAAATGAGAATCACTTGCATGATTTCTTACGGCAGACGGCAATGACCCCAGACACTCTCACCTAAGTGGCGTGGCGTTCCTTGGAGTAGGCCGCCGAGACTTGACGACAAGCCGATGCAGCTTTCTAAGCCACGAGGCTTCCAGAGTCGCCCCTTACTGGCGGTTAGAGGATCCTGTAGGCGAATTTGGCAGGTAGAGAGCACGATGACACGAGAGAAATTTAACAGTAAATTATATACAACCGAAATGGACGAGTGTCTCAAGATACAGAAGCCACGATGTTTACCTATACACAGCCCTCCTCGATCAACTACAGGCCTCCAGATCAATAGCTATCGTATACTAAAAAATACATATCCTATGAATGAAGAGCCTCCGGAGAGGTTCAGAATAACTAAAAATTTCTAAATAGTCAAGAGAAGTGGTTAAATGAGAGTGCACCATTTGACCAGACTACCGACTCCGCCATGAAGTTTGTACACGCCACAGAAACTGTAAATCACGAACCCACCAGCCAGTTCACACTTAATACGCTCTGCCATGAGGATGAGGCGGCGCAGGATCAGACCAGGGCTGCGAGTTTTGCGTCCACTCCCCGTGGCCGTTGTGGCGGCGTGGCTGGGATACATCCGTCCGGAGCTCGGTCGTGCGCACAATTCCCGGCGGCGACGGGTGGCCGTAGTTGCGTTCGTAGTGCACATCGTCGAGTGGGATGGCGACCTCAGTGTCAGGCATCTTCTGGTAGTTCTTGAGAGACTGCATCGAGCTTGAGTGGTTGTGCAGGCGGCTGTCCTTGCTCAGGCCGCTTGAGTTGAGACCCTTCTTGGAGGTGCGGTTGCGGCTGCTGACCCAGGAGGACCACGTAGATTTCATGAACTTGAAGGCTGCAGAGTCGGAGAAGGCCTTGGGCAGCGCGGGGACGCAGAAGACCATGACAGCGCATGTGCTCTCTGCCAAACTCCAGAAGTACACGGGCCCAATGTCACGGGTGACGTTTCCGGTGTAGTCGACTCTCCATGTATAGGCAATTCGCGAGGCGGCGCATACGCAAGCCCTGGGGAAAAGCGATATGTTAGTACCATTTTACTGCTCGCTTTGTTTACTGGGACAAGGGAATGCGCAAACGGTGGCAATGACTTACATGAGTCCCATGGAGAAAATAATGGAGACACCAATCTTCCGGCGGAGATCCATTTTCAGCTTCCAGATCACTCGCTGGGGCATGACCAAGATCAGGATATCGAAGGCCAAGTTGAAGATGGTCGGCAGCGTGTCGAGGGTTCTTCGGTCGCGGCAGACGCCGGGGATCCATCTGTGCCAGTTCTTCTCGATTGGCGTGCAGTAGAACTGGATGGCGATGATGCAGCCAATGTAGAACAGGGTGTTGAGCACAATCATGACCCAGCATGTCCACCAGAAGAAGCTCCTTGTGCGCTTCGGTACAAAGATGTGAATCCACTCGAGCAAAATGGCTGTCTTGAAACCCATCATGGTCAGACCGTAGAACAGAGGGTATAGATACATGATCTAAGGGGCAGTCTTTATTAGCATGAAAACGACATCATTTGAGCAACAGTTTGGACTTACGTAGAGCGTATCGAAGAGCTGGCTCAATCTGACATTGTACTGGTCGACGAAGAAGCCAATCGTCTTCCACAGCGAAAGACCAGCCCATATCATGCCTATAAAACAGCCCTATTTGGAGAGTCAGTGTCTTGTCCTTCGATCGCGCGAATCTGGTGACCTGGATCTTAGATTTGGATCTCTACATACGAATGCGATGGTGGCAATTCCTGCGGGGAAGATGTTAGCTGAGGGGTAACGGACAGGGAGGCAGGTTGATATTCACCATCTTCAACTGTTAACTTTCTCGGGAGGATGACCTTGGAGTAGATCCTGACCATGTAGAAGAAAGTCGCCAACGTGAGGCAGACAATGATCAATGCGACAGACTCGGCATTGTGGTTTGGGGGGTTGATGAAGTTGGGCCTCATGCCGGGCGGCGGTGCGGCCGCGGGCATCGCCAGTTGGGAGGCATTCATCTTGGCGGTCTGGTTTCCTCGAACGTCTTTGCGTAGAGCTGGAGTTGGACACGCACAAGAACAACAAGAGAGAGCACGAGACTTTGACGTAGAGCGAGGCGGAAGGTTGGATTCGGGCACTGTCGATCAAATGTATCCCACGAGAGGTCGCGCGGCTGCAGGTACTGGATCCTATTGCGACATCGCGGGTGTTACCTCGTGTGGCACATTTTCAATATAGCGGGGGTTGGGGTGCCGCACATCCAGATACCACCGTAGACCGTGGCATCTATTGTCCATCGTCCATATAGTGGGCAGTTGGCATGAGGGGTGGGTAGGGGTATCACGGCAACTAGAGAAGCAGGAGGTGTCGCAAGATAGTCAGATGCCGCCCCATCAGACCTGATCTTAGCAAGTAATACGACGCTTTGGGTAGCATCAAAGGAATCGTGGACCAAGGAACCAAGGATCAATATGTGTACAGGAATAAGCATCTAGCCCTGAGAGGACTCGTCCCACAATGATCACGGTGCCAGATAGGTGAGTCTCTATTCGCCGATGGGCGTGGAGTCACAAGGCTTGGCAACACTGCCTCTTGGCCACTTTACGGTCCATTAAGTCATTCAAGCTCCAGAACAGAGATGGCAGGGTTCGTTTGGAACAGGGGGTGGGTTTATCCTCCATTCACGGCGAGCGTCCTGCTTTCGGCATGTGACTAGAATCCCTTGTTCCACCGGATTCTTGATACGAATCCTGTCTGTTCAAATCCTGCTTATGCCATTAGATAGCTTTTCCAGCGTGGACTTGAGGCATTTGCTCAGCTTATGGCCAGTTGGGCTGACTACAGGTGGAACTTTACGTGGGTAAAAGCAGGTACTCGCAGCATATGCAGACCGACTCATAGTCATAAGTGGAGATATGTATGATCTATTCTTGGATTTCGACACAGAGCGGGCATTGCAGACCGCTTGCGGTTGTGACTGCAGCATAGGGTGTCTCTGTCTCGCATCTCCTTCGTTTTACCCCATATCCTAGGAATGGCCCCAAGTGATAATCCAGTTTACCTGTCCAAAAGAACTAAATCTACTTACTCTCATGTGATGCTGCATTAGTTTCCTTCTCATCATACTGCTGCCTACCGAGTTCTGCTATCTCAATTGACTTCTCTTTGATCAAGAAAGATAAAATGAAGCCAACGACAGATACGCCGGCGAGCATCCAGAACACGGCATACAGGGAAACCATGTATGCATGAATCACCTCATTCAATATCTCAGGGTCCACGGTTACATCTTTCAGCAGAGGAATGAACCCCACGGCTTCTCGTGCGTCATGCAAGATTTGCAGATCGTCCGGCAATGGGCCCAACCTTCCCATCCGAACTGCAAACACACTGTTGAAGACAGTGGAACAGATGGAGAGACCCAATAGGGCACCGAAGAGTCTGAATGCCACCAGCACGCCTGCTGCCACACCCATATCGTCTGGGTTGGATAGACTGGCCTGCAGAGGCAGATTGAGAATGGAGAACAAGCTCCCGGTTCCGATTCCCAGAATGATCTGGAAGCCGACTTGCCATCCTAGAGATGCATTCTCATCCCAGAGGGTAATAATGCCACAGCCTACAGCACTGAAAATCCAGCTAGCCAAGATAATATACCGATACTTGCGAGTGACCTCGACGGCGACGGCACCTAGAACACCAAAGACGACAGACGTACAGGCAAGTGGCAGCATAGTGATGGCAGATTTTATGGCCGACTGGAGGAAGACGGATTGGAAAAAAAGGGGCGCATAGAAAATCGTGCTGTAGACCAATATCCCGTGAATGAATGTAGTGATCAGCGTGAAACATGCAGTCAGCGTGGCGAACACACTGCGCGGGAATACAGGCTCCTCGGGCTTAGACTCGTACCACCAAAAGACGACGAGTACCACGACGCCGAGGAGCAAAGGTACCAACGTTCGCCACGATGACCACGGGTACATGGCGCCAGCCCACGCGATCGGCGTGGCCGTTAATGTGCAACCGACGGTGAATAAGCCGAGGCCGATGAAGTCCAGCTGCGAGAATTTCTTGCTGAGAGAGTCTTGGAGCGGCTGCAGCTTGAGGAAGAAGACGACCAGCAGGATGTTGAGCGCACACACTGGCAGGTTGATCCATCCTATCCAACGCCACGACCCATTGTCGGCTAGTAATCCACCGATGATGGGGCCAATGATGGATCCTGCAGCGACAGGTATTGCCATGAGACCAAGATACTTGGGCCGCTCCTTCAGAGTGGTGATGTCTGCGAGAATGATCTCGTTGAAGACATCTAGGCCACCAGCCCCAAGGCCCTGGACCACACGTCCGGCAATCAACACAGCCATAGACTGGGAAAGAGCAAAAATGATGGAGCCTGCCATGAACAGGACGAAGGAGATGTGAAGCGGTATCATCCGCCCAAGCACATTGGATACATTGGTGTACAGGGGCTGGGTGATGACCACAGCGAGCACAAACGAGATGCTCGCCCAAAAGGCCTCAAGGGTGGTTCCATGTAGGGTATGCACAATGGTCTAAGTAAAAGAAATCAGAAACCATTGAATCCATCAGATAGCGATGCCATGCACGATTGTCCATAGTCCGGAGGGGTCACGTACAGGAATGGCGACGGCAAGGATGGTGCCGTCAAGGGATACAATGAATGCCATAATGACCAGAGCCAGAACGGACATCTGGAACCCCAGAGTCTTGCCCTTCGGGGGCAAGTCTTCCTCTGTGGAAGTCTCCATCGTAGTTTCCAACAAATCGCCACTTTTCTCAGAGGCGTTTTGCTGGATTAGCGTATCTTGCAATGTTTCTTGTGGCTGCACGGAATCGGCCATGAGAGGCTCGACCGTCGTCTGGGGAGCCTTCTCTGGGCCCGACATGTTGTCGATTCACTGAGGAGTGAAGTGAGGACTCCAACTCAGTGTCCGGGCTAAGATAGGATCTCGGGCAATTCTCGCTCTGTGTAAAGGAGTGACTGGAGGTAGGTAGCGGGGTTTTGTTCGGGGTCGCCTGGAAATTGCATTTTGATTTACTGGTTTCGGCTCCGCGGCGATAAAACGAATTCCAACGTCACATCGACCAGGGGATGTTCCTGCGGGAGAGGGGAGAAAGTGAGCTGATTGATAGGTGCCCATCGCCACAGTCGCAGTCCACCTTGGGAAGCTGCAAGGAAGGAATTACTGTATTACCATTTGTGAGCCATTAGTCTGCTGCAGAAGGAGTCCGCGCTTGCATGAACACAGTTGATTGGAGACAGGTTGGTTCTCACCCTGGCACAGTCACCTTTGGGGGCTCTTCTTCTGTTCCTTCGGCATCACACGATTTCATGCTAGCTGTTGGCTGTTGGAGAATCCCTGCGAGACGAACACACGCAAGTGGTGCGAGTCAAGGGACAGGACGGCCACGATGTAGCATAGTTGGCTGGTGTACGTTGAACGGTGGGGAGGAGGGACTTGTTGTTGTCTTGACCTCAAGTTCCGAGTCTGCTCGGCAATAACCATCACGGAAACTCACCGTCTACCTACCTAGATGAGAAAGAAGTCTTCAATGGGATCCAGTATCCACTTTGTGGGCGTATCGTCTCGGCCTGGAGATGAGACTTCTACCGCCTGATCCCTGTCACCACGTCTCATTGCAGTAAGCTCGGTGAATTTTACCGCTTGAAGGGACCCCGAATGGGTACACGTGGTATGAGGGTAGGATCTGGACCCAAATGGGAGAATGCTCGGCCTATCGATTGATGCCGTGCGCATCATGCTATTGCCAGGGCCGTGTCGCTTCATGATTCCAACATGAGGAATATCGTCTTCACGACCCCACACACACTCTCACTCAGACTCGACGCAGATATCGCCAGCAAATAAGTCAGAATTGCAAGGTACGCAGAACCCACCTGACAATAAGCTGCAACCCCTGACGACCCGCCGGCAGGCCAGTTGAATTTCTAATGCCCACCGCTCGCTGGCAGCCAGGGATGCTCCAAGTGTGACATATCGCGGGCTCAAAGGAGGATGCTTCGGTGGTTAGAACAAACTTCGATCTTTTGTTGTGGGATGTCACGCTAATCATAGCTTATTGTACCTAATGGTGTTCAAGCATATTTTGAAAAGGGGGGTGGGTGGATGGTGGAGGCTCATTAGTCTCGCAACGCTGTGCCTCTATCCCTGCCGATTGCTACATAATAATGGACCAGTAATATGGCAGTTTAGTTTCTGATGGAAACATCAATGGAAAACATGGGGCGGCACGCACAGCACGCACCGCATTTCCTCGATTCCATCCCGCAAGTTGGGATCTCTCCTCCTCGCCCCAAGATTCAGCCTCAGCCCTATGTTCGACATATCGAAGAGAGGCGAGTTGACAGAATTTCACCTTCATTGTCAAGACTAGACCATAAAGTCCCGATTAAATACGAAAGTCCCGATTTAAATCTAGAAAAAACATGGGGCTGAAACGACCCTGACCAGGTTTCCCCCCTGACATCTCGTAGACACACCAATCAGAGCCAGTTTCGGGCTGGATATCCGTTCAAATCATGCCAAAACCAGACAAGTGCTGTGCTCGCATCCATTCATAGACCTTCTCAGCGGCAGCCGTGGCCTGGCCCTTCTTGCCGCTGCTCTCAAGGGCAAATATCTCCTCGACCCAGCTGTAGATAGACTCAAGTAATATTTCCACTTCCTCCTGCGTGTTGCCGCCGTGGATGGTGATCTTGAGCCTGCTCTGGCCCACGGGGACAACGGGATGCGACACCGGCATGACGTTGCAGCCGGCAAATAGGATGTTGAAGTAAAGCCAGTAGGTGTACTTCTGCAGCGTCTGGACGATTACCACGTGGGTAAGGAATGGCCGCTCCTCCCACCCTTCGGCGAGGGGGATCGACAGGATGCCTCTGCTCTTGGCCTCTTCCCACAACGGATGCGACGTCATCCTGTCATAGAATAGTCCGACCAAAGACTGGACATTTCGGCGGGCTTCACGGCCCGGTTCTGTGGTGAGTAGGTTATACCCGGCCTTGATCATGGCAACGTGCGCAAAAGGAGGCGCTGTGGTGAATTGGAATGACCGGGCAAAATTGGCGATGATACTCCTAATTGTGGCATTTCCAACCACGATAGCTAGAATACCTTTTTGTCAGCTAACAGTTCATTCTCCTCAACACCGAGTTCAAAAGGAGAAAACTAGTCAAAGATAGATTGGACTTACCGCCATGGCATCCGAGACCTTTTGCAAAGGAGTGCATAACGACAGCAACTTCCTTCTCCAGACCTAGCTCGCAAACGAATCCTTTCCCTTCGGGTCCTATCGTCCCCGTGCCGTATGCCTCATCGACCACGAACTGGACGTTGCCCCGATTCCGAGATATTTCGTTTGCGATGTCAATCATCTCTCGCAAAGGGCATACGTCTCCGTCCATGCTGTAGGTGGCCTCGACCGAAACAATAACAGTTCGCTTCCCTTGGCGAACCAGGGGGTGGCTCGCAAAAATGGAGGAGAGCGTGGTGCGGAACGACTCAAGATCGTTGTGCTGGAACTCTACCCTGTGCTTCGTAAGGCTCTGCTTCATCCCATCGAGCGTGCTGGCGTGCGAGGCTTCGTCATAGAGCATGACATCGCCTGGGCGGGGGATGGCTGTCCAGATGGCGACGTTGGCATCGAATCCCGAGCCTAACATAACACCGGCCTCGTAGCCATGGAAGTTGGCAATGGCCCTCTCCGTCTGCTCGAGATATGGATAGTTGCCATCAACCATACGGGAGCCTCCTGAATTCGTGCCAAAGTCAGGATGTCGGGCCAGTTCTGCGAGGTATTCTTTGGATAAGGCACCACTGGTGCTGAGTGAAAGCAAATCATTGGAGCAAAAGTCGATGAGCTTTTCCGTCCCATCTACGGGAACGATTGAATATAGTGAGTTGGATTTGCGGCGGACGTCCAGAGCCTCCTCCAGATTCTTGTAAAAGGTTGAAGAGGTGGTTGCAGGTGAGCGTTGAACTTTGTGTCCGTTGAGCCGAGCTGCCAATGTCCCGCTCGCCGAGAGATGCTCTTGCTTTGTGTCGTCAATCATGATGGGCTGCCTTGAAAATAGCTTTCACTCTTTGTAGGCTCTAGTTTCTCTCCAAGGGCATATAGGGTAATTTGAGCCTGTCGGAGAAGGGGAGACATACATCAAATTGATGCCAATGAACTTCAGGATACAAAAACGGGCTTTGGATACTGGGAATGGTTTCTGTGTTCCCACACCCACCTCCTGGAACGGAGCAGTGGACCAGTCCGTTAGTCAGGACACGTGAAAAAATGTCCTCAAGATGCTACGGCACCACGCAATCCGTTCGTTGTAACCCTTCAAATCCTCTGTGCCAGGTTGTGTACCCAACCAAGGCCCGATAGAGCGCTCCAGACTAAATCCAAGTCCGACTCCGGCAAGAAGTCGCCTTACCCAGAGAAGGATTCGCTCTCGTATCAACTTATTAGCTCTAGAATAGGAATGGCTAAACCTCCGCCGATACAACATATATCTGACCACATAGTATTTCCAAACTATCCAAACGGCGTAGGTCTATGCAACCTCGTGGCATTCACGGCTTCTGTGTGCCGTGTTGATATTGCCAGAAACCAGGTATCTCCGGCAGGGCCAATATTTCCAGGGACTGCATTGTCCAGGGGAGTCGCCCTGGCACTTTTGCAACATGGGGGGGCGTACGAAACTTGACACGACCGGCGCAATCCTCGACTTACTTGAGAATAACCAGGTTGGAGATTCAAACAAGGGTTGGATGTTTAAACGAGTAGCCTTACAGCTGAGGATTAGGCTTGGTCGAGCTGCCTATTGTGGCAGAGTCAGTCCCCGGGGGGTTTACATTATACGCGAGTAATATACCCACGCCTGAGAGATGCTCCTCCGCCCCCATCTATGGCGCCAATATTCCGCCCCTCCTCATGGAGAATTCCGATTACCGATCCCAGAGTAGCTTCCTGATTTGCAAATTGCCGGCATGATAGTGTCAGAGTCACATTTGCGAGTCCTTTGAACGGTGGCAGAACGTCTGCTTTGCCAGGGAAGACCGCGCAAATTCCAGGCCTGTCCATTGACTTGTAACTGCACACACGCTAGATAGTAATACCGCGCAGAGATATCGGTCCAAGGTTTCGAATCCAACTTCCTCCCCACCACTCACTAGCTCTGATCCCAATGGGTGCCGTTGATCCATCGAGGTCACCTTGATCGGTAGCTCATAGCATGACCTGATCCATAATGGCACCTTGCGGCGGCTGTGACGGAACCCAACGCTACCCTCGCGAGCGGCTGTTAGTAACTTGCAACCAGATTGGATATCTTACCGCCTCTGCTCAAGACACGTGAACATAACATATACTGCCGTCTTCTCCGTAGTGTAGTGTCCTCTGGCAAGGCCATTTGCGATGAAGTGTGGTCGCGAGTGACTAGAAAATCCAAGTAGTGACGCTCATTTCATTTTCTAGAACTCAACCACTTGACTCACAATCAGTGGTCACCTCTCCTTTCCAAGACGCGCTCCAGGCATAACACCGCCACTTAGACGCAAAAATGGACTCGATTGCCATCATCGGGTACTCATTCAAGCTCCCCGGAGCGGCTGAGGATGACGCATCCTTGTGGGATATGCTGGAGCACGGCCGGAATGTCATGTCCCCCTGGCCAAAATCGAGGACGAATGTTGATGCATTCTACGATCCAGAATCGTCAAGACCCAACACGGTGCGATCGCCACCTACTCCATAGATCAGTCGATCGAACTATTGCTAATTTGACGTGCATAGCTTCACCACAAGGGAGCGCACTTCGTCGATGGAGACCTCACAGCGTTCGATGCGCCTTTTTTCGCCATGTCCTCGAGGGAGGCCACCTCTATGGACCCCCAGCAGCGATGGCTGTTGGAAGCATCATATCGAGCATTCGAAAATGGTGAGTTCCATCATGCCGAAATTCTGGAATTGACCCTGTACTGACTGGATCTCTAGCTGGAATCCCGGCTGAAAAAGTCGCCGGCACAGAGACATCGGTCTTCGCGGCCTCCATGGGCACAGATTTTATGAACATTGTCTCCAAGGATGCCGACACAGCCCCGGTCAACACGGCCACCGGAACCACGGCCTCGTTCTTGGCCAGCAGATTGAGTTGGTATTTCGATCTCAAGGGACCTAGCATGCAGGTCAACACCGCATGTTCGACCAGCATGATCGCCATCGATCTGGCATGCCAGTCTCTGCGAAGCAACCAATGCTCCATGGTTAGTACAATGTTCCCACCCAAAAGTCGGAGCTGCAGGGACCTTGTATTGACGTGGACACTTTTCTTCCCCCTGCGCAGTCCCTGGTTGCAGGAGCCAATATCCTGATCGATGCCGAGTGCTCTATGTTCTTGAATAACATGGGTTTCCTGTCCCCAGACAGTCTCTGCTACAGCTTCGATGAGCGAGCCAACGGCTATGCCAGAGGTGAGGGTGTCATCGTAGTTCTCTTGAAGAGATTACCAGACGCGATCCGAGATGGCGACACGATTCGTGCTGTCATTCGGGGCACAGACACAAACCAAGATGGACACACTCCTGGTATCACGATGCCAAGTGCTTCTTCTCAGGAGGCACTGATCCGGAAGGTGTACAAGACCAATGGACTGAGTTTTGACCAAACACGCTACATTGAAGCTCACGGTAAGCACCAAATGTTCTAGATGAGCCTTATTTATTTGATACTAACATGTATATTCAGGTACTGGTACCCAAATCGGAGACACGATTGAGACGTCTGCAGTTGGTCGAGTGTTTCGACATAGCCGCTCTCCAGAAGAACCACTTTATGTGTATGTATCTCAAAAATACCTACCTCATGCTAACGGTGTTCTAATTGTGATAAAGGGGCTCTATCAAAGCAAATGTCGGCCATCTTGAAGGAGGCAGCGGTTTGGCCGGAATTATTAAGGGTATCCTAATGCTCGAAAAGGGACTCATTCCACCTAACGCCAACTTTGAGAAATTGAACCCCAAAATTAACGCCAAACTGTACAACATCAAGGTGAGCTCAACAACTTTAATTCCACTTATTCTCAAGTTCTAGATATTCAAATGGATAGTAACTAACTATGCTCATGTGCAGATCCCTACCTCGCTTGTTCCATGGCCCAGCAAGGGGCTGCGCCGCATTGGCATCAACTCATTTGGGTTTGGTGGTTCAAACGGTCATGTAATCATGGATGATGCCTACCATGTTCTCGAAAGTTTGGGTCAAAAGGCAAATCACCATACAATAGTCGATGTCCCTTCACCTGCTACGAATGGCAATGGGCATGTCAATGGTGACAAGCCCGCCGCCGAAGCAGCTACAAATGGCAACGGTCATGAAGCCACAAACGGTCATGAAGCCACAAACGGACATGTTGAGGTGACTGAGACTGTTGCGAATGGAAATGGTCATGAGGCTGTGATTGGACATGCTAAGGAAGTTGAGACGGCTACGAATGGTAATGGGCATGAAGCCGTGAACGGACATGCCACCACAACTGCTCCTGATATCCCGCCTTCCGACCTCAAGCTTTTGGTATGGAGTGCTAAAGACGAAGCTGCCTTGAAGCGCGTACTTCAACAATACTCTAAGCACTATGAAGTTGCTGGCCTCGACCAAGACCTGGAGGCCTTGGCTTACACTCTTTCCCAGAGGCGAAGCATAATGAGCTGGAAGTCTTTTACAGTAACTAACAGCAAAACCGGTCCTGCAGCTATCTCGAAGAGCGTTTCGAGCTCGACACGATCATCTAGGCAGTCCACTTTGGCGTTCGTCTTCACGGGACAGGGTGCTCAGTACGCCAAGATGGGTCTTGAGCTAATTCAGTACCCTGTTTTCAAGTCAACTTTGGAACAAATCGGCGGAATCTTCACTCACTTGGGAGCCGAGTGGTCGCTTTTCGGTGAGTACCAGTCAACATCCCAATCTCTATGCTTCATCGCGATTTGATGATGCGAGTTAACCAAGAAATCTATCATTCTAACTATGTAATGTAGACAAACTTCAGAGCAAGGACGAAATAAGCAAGCCTCAGTACAGTCAACCGCTCTGCACAGCTCTTCAAATAGCGCTGATTGAGCTGCTTGAATCCTTCAACATTACCCCTTCCGCCGTCGTGGGTCATTCGTCAGGAGAGATTGCTTCCGCATACTGTGCTGGTGCTCTGTCTCTTGAATCTGCGTGTAAAGTGGCGTACCATCGCGGTAGGCTCGCTGGGCAGCTTGTTGCGACTTTGAGTGCAACACCTGGAGCTATGATGTCGGCCAATCTTCAGGAAGATGAGGTCGAGGAGTATCTTTCAAAGGTTCCCCTCAAGTCGACTGTGCACATTGCTTGCGTCAACAGTCCCACCAACGTCACTCTCTCCGGAGATGAAGCCGACATTGACATCTTGAAGGAGTACCTGGATGAGTCCAGCATCTTCGCTCAGAAGCTGAAGACAGGCGTGGCATATCACTCTCCCGCTATGCAATCGATCGCCGATGAGTATCTCCAGTCCCTCGGTGACTTGCAAGAGGGAGACGCCCGCCGAGGAGATATCCTGATTGTTTCATCTGTCACTGGACAGAAGGAGGCACGCTCGCAGTTCACAGAGGCTAGCTACTGGGTAGAGAACCTGACGTCGCAAGTTCGATTCAGTGATGCGCTCCAGTATATTGCTGTTGCGGCCCCTGAGGCGGATGGACTCGCCTCGATCACTGACTACCTCGAAGTCGGACCGCACGCAGCTCTGAAGCGGCCGGTCAGTGACACTCTTACCCCAGTCGACAACAAGAAAGGCTGGAAATACTCCTCTCTCCTTTCAAGACTTGAGTCCCCAGTCAAGTCCGTGCTGGAATCGGTCGGTCGCCTCTTCTCCCAAGGGTTCCCGGTGTCAGTTCTCGCCGCCAACCAACAGCAAGACCTTCCCCAACCTGTTCCCTTCCTCACCAACACTCCTCAGTATCCTTTTGACCACTCTCAGACCTACTGGCATGAGTCGCGCATCAGCCGGCAATGGCGGCAACGCGAGGCCACAAAAGGCAGCCTTATCGGTTTCCGCTCAGCTGACTGGAACCCCCTCGAGCCACGTTGGCGTAAGATTCTCAGTGTAGAGGAGATGCCCTGGCTCGCGGATCACGTTGTCGAGGAGACCATCTATCTCCCTGCGACAGGATCACTGGTCATGGCTCTCGAGGCTGTCAATGAGATGGAAGAGAGGCCCCAGGCTATATCCGGTTACAGGATCAAGGACGCAACCTTCAAAGCCCCGATCGTCATTCCCGCCGACGAGGGTAAGGCTGAGGTTGTGACGCAGCTGCGCCGGCTCCAGTTGGCGCATACCAAGACCACGCCTCGTTACGAGGTTAAGCTGTTTACCTGCGCTGACGATTACTGGAATGAATGCTTGAGTGTCACCATCTTCGTTGAATACAAAGATGTGGCTCCGAATGAAGTAGACGGAGGACAAGAAGCCGTCATTGCCGCTGAGGCACTAGCCCGCACATTCGCCAGTGCGGATGACCTGTGCAAGGACACTATCGAGACAGAAACTTTCTACAACTGGCATAAGGAGCAGGGCCTTAAGTATGGTGACGCCTTCTTGTTGGCTGACCACCTCCGCTGGAATGGTGAGGATCTTGCGATGTCCACCGTTGACGTTGCGCCTCCTGCAGAACCATACAAGGGTATCTTCCACCCGGCAGTGCTTGACGCTTCTTGCCAAATGTGCTTCATCTCGCCCTCGCAGGGAATGGTGAAGAAACTGCCCACCATCATCCCCCACAAGATCTCATCCGCCTGGCTCTCCGCAACTGGCTGGCAGTATCCCGATACGAACCGCATAAGGACCATGGCCAAGTCCAAGGTCAAGACCACTTCCATGGGAGTTGAAGCTTCATTCATTGTCGTAGGAGATGACGGCAAGCCACTTTGCCACGTAGAGCATGTGGACATGCACCCCGTTAAGGGCGAAGATGAGGCAGCCAGCACAGACGTGCCGAAGTTGCTTCACGGTATCGACTGGAAGCCTCAGCTGTCACTTCTTAAGCCTGACCAGCTGCAGAAATTCTGCAATGTCGATCACTTTGATGATGATGAGACCGAAGCAGCCAGGTACTGCGTCAGGCTCAAGAATGTCTGCTTGGCGGCCATGAAGTTCCACATGAAGGAGATGCAAGAGACAGACTGGTCCAAGGCGCCATCCCATATGAAGCAGTTTGTCGCTTGGATGGAAAGAGAACTCGGAAGGAATACTGTTGAGACCCTAACCGCTGAAGAGCTAGCCAAGGAGCTGGACGTGGTGCGCGAGATGCGACCAGCAGCCAGAATGTTCATCGAGATCGCCGAGAAGCTTGCATCAATCGTCAGCGGCGAGACAGACATTGTCGGTCTCTTGTTCTCGACTTCCCTGGCCCAGGACCTCTACGACACGCTCTTTGAGCGCATGGACAACCCCAAGCTTGAGTCATACGTCCAGCTCCTGGCGCACGAAGTCCCCGAGCAGAAGATCCTCGAAGTCGGTGCTGGCACAGGTGGCATGACGAGCGTTCTCCTGTCTTACCTTGATCGCGTCGAAGAGCGCACCGGCGGAACTGCCTTCTCAGAGTACGCCTACAGTGACATCTCTACTGGATTCTTCGACAAAGCTCTGAAGCGCTTTGCCAAGTTCCAAGATCGCATGACTTTCAAGACGTTCGATCTTGAGAAGGATCCCCTCACCCAAGGATGGCAGGCACGATCTTACGATGTCATCTTTGCTGGCAGTGTCATCCATGCTACTCGTAACCTCAACAATACCATACAGAACCTCCAGAAACTCCTGAAGCCAGGCGGCAAGCTGATAATGCATGAGACTACAGCCGAGGAGTGTTTCCAGATCTCATTTGGCTTCGGTCCCTTGTCTGGTTGGTGGCTGAGCGAGGAGGACTACCGTCCGTGGGGTCCGATCATCACGGTTCCCGAATGGGATAGAGTGCTCAAAGAGAATGGGTTCTCTGGAAACGACATGGTCATCAAGGACTTCCAGAGTGATGACGCCTACTGGGGTAGTATGATCATGACTACTCTTGGCCAGCCGGCGGGCAGCGAGCTTCAAGAGACCGAGATCCTGCTTGTGGTAGATGAAGCAGACAGCTACAAGGTGAACCTGGCTTCATTAATCGTTGATGTATGGGCTGCCAATGGCCGGGGATACAAGCCCAAGACTGTTTCTCTGGGACAATTGGATGACATAACCCTTTGTTCGACAAAGTATGAGCACGTTGTATTTTTGGGAGAAGAGGGCTCTGCCTACTTAGCCAATCTGTCCGAGGCAGCTTTCGGCAAGCTTAGGGCGTTCATCAATGCTTCAAAGAACATATTGTGGGTATCTACAGTTGATGGCAGCGATCCTTCCGTGTCTGCTTATGCCGGACTCAAGGATGGTTTCCTTCGAACTCTTCGCTCAGAGTATCAAGGAAAGCGCATCGTGTCACTCACTTTGCCCGACACGCCTTTGCCCGAGTCATCTGCCGCAGACAAGATTGTGTCTGTCTTTGCATCCGCATTTGACCTTCTGTCTCCAGAAGATGAATACTTGGTCAAGGATGACTTGGTCCTGACTGGTAGGGTGATCCAGGAAGTAGCCCTGAACCAAAATATGGGATCCTCGGTTGTTCCTCAAATAAAGAAGGAGAGCTGGCTCCCTGGACCCCCACTGAAGGTCGACGTATTGAAACGTGGATCGATTGATACCTTAAGCTTTGTTGAGGACCCCGAATACTATGAGCCTCTCAAGCCAAAGGAGGTCGAAGTTGAAGCCAAAGCTTGGAGTGTCAATTTCCGTGACATTTTCCTCGCCCTCGGCCGTCTCGAGGACGCGGAAGGTATGGGATCAGACTGCGCCGGTATCGTCTCCAGAGTCGGCTCCGAGGTCACGGCCTTCAAACCCGGCGATCGTGTTATCATGGGCAGCACTGGATGCATGAAGATGTTTGCCCGAGATGAGGAGGGCTGCATTACCATGATGCCGGATTCCTTGTCATTCGAGGGTGCATGCAGTATCCTGAATGGAGGTTCTACCTCGTACTACGCTCTTGTCGAGGTCGCTCGCCTGCAGAAGGGTGAGAAGATTCTCATCCACGCAGGGTCGGGTGCTACTGGCCAGCTCGCGATCCAGATCGCTCAGATGGTTGGAGCCGAGGTGTTCACCACAGTCGGCTACGATCACAAGAAGCGTCTCCTCATGGATGAGTACCACATCCCAGAGGATCACATCTTCTACAGCCGTGACACGAGCTTTGCCAAGGGTGTGAAGCGAGTGACCAACGGCTACGGCGTTGACGTTGTGCTCAACTCACTTGCCGGAGACGGACTGATCGCATCATGGGAGTGTATCGCTCCTCACGGACGGTTCATCGAGATCGGCAAGTCAGACATCCACAACAACTCATCCCTGCCCATGGCCTACTTCGCCAAGAATGTAACCTTCTCCGCGGTCGATCTGCGCCATGTGGCACAGTGCCGAAAGGATATCTCGGCGAAATTGCTTCCTGGGTTGATGGTCTTGGCTGAGCAAGGCAAGGTCTATCCCTGCAAGCCGACTGTAACGTACGGGCTTGAGGAAATCCATGATGCCTTCCGATTGCTCCAGAGCGGAAAGAATACTGGCCGAATCGTGGTCAAGATTGATCCCGCTGCTAAGGTTGAGGTAAGTACCCAGAGAATGATAAGTAGTTGAACAGATTCGCTAACCCCTTGACAGAAACACCTCATCAACCGTAGACTGTGGACTTTCCCAGAGAATGCCACATATCTGATCGCAGGAGGCCTCGGAGGTATCGGACGCTCCATTCTTACGTGGATGGCCAGCAAGGGAGCTAAGAACCTCGTTGTCCCTACACGATCCGGAGCATCATCTGAAGCAGCGGCCGAGACAGTCAAGGCTTTGACTGAACAAGGCGTAAATATCTTGACGCCAAAATGCGATGTTACATCGAAGGAATCACTCTCTCAGTTGCTTGAAGAGGTCAAGACTACTATGCCGCCAATCCGAGGATGCATCAACGCAGTCATGGTGCTGCAGGATTCAGTATATGAGAACATGACTCACGCACAGTGGGATACAGCCGTCCGCTCAAAGGTTGGCTCCTCGGTAAACCTCCACAACCTTCTGGGTGATGGTCTAGACTTCTTCATCCTCCTTTCCTCGGGTGCTGGTATCGTCGGAAACATCAGTCAGTCCAACTACGCAGCCGGATCAACATTCCAGGATGCCTTGGCTCGTTACCGTGTATCCAAGGGCCAGCGCGCAACAGCCATCGACTTAGGTCTGATGCGAACTATTGGTATCGTCGCTGAAACGGAGACACTACAAAGGAACTTTGAGAGGTCAATCGGACTCGCCCAGATTGAAGAAGATGAGTTCTTGACGCTGATGGATATTTGCTGCAATCCTGTGGAATCCAAGATCGAAAACAAGAGCCAAATGACTGTTGGACTCATTACACCAGCAGACATGCTTGCAGCTGGAGTAGAGGTCGCCGAAATGCTACAGCGACCGCTATTCTCCTACTTCAGCCGCCCACGCGGTCTCGCGTCTTCCGGCAACGTTGCAGATACCGTGAACTTTGCAGCTTTGTTCAGGCAGGCCACATCAGCTGAGGAGCGTGCCGGCATTGTCACAGAAGCTCTGGCGACTAAGCTGGCCAGGGCCCTGTCGATGAAGGTTGAGGACATTGAGACCGACCAACCAATCTACAGTTATGGAGTGGACTCATTGGTGGCCATTGAACTGCGGAATTGGATATCAAAGGAGTTCGGCGCAGATGTGCCGGTCTTCGAAATCATTGGAGGAAAGTCAGTGTCGGCACTCGGTGATCTGGTGACGAAGTCGACTCATGTAACCAAGAAAGCAGCTTGAAGGGATAGCTTATTTGTTTTAGTTTTCGATTCTTCACGTACTAGACGAATTGCTCATAGTATGTCTTGTTACAATTAATTTACTGTTTCCAATATTCAAAAAACCAACATGTTGCAACTTATCGTTACGTTGTTTTATCATGTGTATAACACTTGAATTTCAGATGAGATAAAACTCTGTATAAGTTCCAGTATCTTCTTAATCAATAAGTTTTGCTTCAAAAGGTCAAGCTGAAGTTCTTTTGAAACAGTTATTTCAGCATCCAATTCATTTTCTTAGTATTGAAAGATGAAGAATATTATTCCATTGATAGGAAAGGAAGAGCCCGTCTGTACTCAGAGAACTAACACATAAGACAACCTTATCCTTCGGGGTACTCCAATTAGCAGTTGGGTATCTTTGAAAGAAAGTACTTCGCAGTTTAAATGACCTGGCCCTTGACCTGTTTAATAGTCCTCACATCCGTGTTGCGCCAGATAGCAACGGAAGCAGCACCAGCAACCCAGAGAGCTGTACCAGCAATGCACATCATCTTTTGCGCATCGCTATAAGCGTGCTGGATGGCAATGCGAGTCGGTGAGCCCACGGGGTAACCTGTCTGAACTACCAGGGAGCTGTAAATGTCGAGGTAGCTTTCCTGGTCCTCGAGGGGAAGGTATTCGAGGAGCTTAACGGGGAAGGTTTGGTTCCAGATAAGTGTAGCTACTGTGAGGCCAATGGCGGAGCCGATGGACGTGAACATGGAGATGATGGCCATGACGACAGCGACATGCTGGTGGGATGCCGAGGACACGGCGGCGATCTGAGGGGAAATGATCAGGACGCCGGAGGAGAAGGCGAGGAAGATTTGACACATGACGATGTAACCAATGCCCTGATCCGCACTCCTGAAGTAGATCATGAGACCCATGAACAGAGTGTAGATAGGGATAGCGACAGCAAGCGTCACGTATTTGTAGCGACCTGTGTAGTGGATGTAGTATCCAGTGGCAATACAGGCAATACAGCTTCCGCAGCCGTAGATCTGGGTGACGTAGCTGGCCTCGGTGATGGTCAGATTGTTAACCACCTGAAGGAACGAGCTGAAGAAGCTGTTCCAGGTTGAATAACTGATGCCGAGAACGAGGCACAGGATACAGGAGCCGATCATGTTGCGGTCAAGAAGCAGCGAGTAAGGAATGAAGGTGACTGGAGCAAGGAACTTCTCCCAAATCGCAAACAGGGTCATGAGGACCAAGCCGAAGACGATGAAGCAGATGATCATGGGCGTTTTGAAGCCATCCGGCTGCAGAGACCAGATGTTGAACGGCAGGAGGAACAAGGAGATTCCAGCAGTCAGAAGGAGGAGGCCAACAGCGTCGAATTCGCGAAGGTAGTAGAGAACCGACTGCAGGGGGTTTCTTCCCGATTTCTCAATGACGAGGATCCCTTGGCTCTTAGCCTTGTTGGTCTGCACCAGCATGACGACAAACAATGGAAGACATAAAACGGGCAAGATGATGGAGAAAGCCCCGAAACACCATGCCCATCCAGGTCCGCGAAGGTAGAAGGCTTCCGAAATTGGGCCGCCAAGCCAGATGGTGATAATATTAGGAGAGGTCGTCAGTGCCGTCATCAGGCCACGACTACGAAGAGACGAGGTATCGGCAACGAAGATGTTGATACTGTATCCCAGAGCCGCGTTGCCCACAGTCCAAAAGACCTGGGCAGCAGCATAGAGCTCCACACTTTGAGTTGCCGCCATCATGATGAGACCGAGGGTTGCGATGATGAGGGCGATGAGGTAACCTTGGGGCCGTCCAAACACATCGAGAATCTTGGCGACAGTAAGGTTGCAGACACCTCCGATGACGGCTGCGAGGGTGCCCACGGTAGCTGTGAGAGAGTGAAGAGCGAATGCCGAGGTCACGTAAGGGATAAGCGCGGACGAGGACACCTGTTGCAGCAGCATGATGAAGTAAACGAACCAGATGAGCCCGTAAGTCAGGAGAAGAGTCTTCCTAGACCAAACGGAGGCGAGTGCCTCGACCTTCTGGACGCCTGCCTGGGCCTCTTTGTCGATTGGTTCGTTGCCATCTTGTGTGTTGGAGCCGTTTCCGTGTATAGAATTGTCGTTGTCCTTGTTAAGGTGCTCGTCAGCGTCGGCTGACACGACCGGAGTTTGAGCTTCACCCATCGCAGTGAGGTCGATGTCAAAAGCATAAGATAGCCAAATAAGGTAGGTTAGTTTGACGAAGCGAGGGGGAAAGCTTAATGTGTACATCCAGCGGGAGCTCCCGAAGGTTTTGTACTTCATGTGCTGCTGGCCCCCACCTACACACTAGGTTCAGCCAACAAGCACTGCATACAACAAGCCTACACAATAGGATCACCTGGCTTGGGATCCCGCTTTCTAACAATTAACATGGTCCAATTGCCATCGTTTCGACCGTGTAGAGGGATGTCGGGTGGGGCATCTTATGTCGAACTGGTGTGTATTGAGGCAGATACCCACACTCGTGAGATTGTCAGACGCAAAACTTGCTCAATTCCACTCATTGAGGCGTGTAATCACCAACAGCCAATGAGAGTTTTCACAGCCAGCCGCAGAAGCTAATTCTGCAGCTCTCCCGCGAGTGGGATGACGTTTATAATAAGCCGTTCCATAAGGGGAAGTGCCAGCTTATCAGCTGATTGATATCCAATAACCACAATATGAGAGCTCCGCGCATGAATAATAATGAGGAACACCATGCAATTAATTCTTGTAAATATGTAGAGAAGTAGGATGGGAAGGTGCAGGGAACGGGATGGAGACACGAGATGAACAAAGTAACGAAGAATCTTTTGAGGCCGAATTGTACATGTCATAGCAAATGCGCCGTCAGGTCCGTTATCAACGCCCAAGGAGGATTCCATGTCAGTAAGCTGCAGAAGATCCTGAAATTCCTGAAGATTGTGCATGGTGAACTAAAGTACCATCGAGGGTACTTTTCCTCGGAACATTGTGTATGGCTACCTAAGCAACATAGAAAGAGAATGGAAATACACATAAGTAGTCGATAGATTCCGTCGCTTCTCTTCAGACATAACAATGAAATTTATCGGAGGAAATATATCCAATTCGTGAATGTGAATAAATATGGACAATTTTCTCGACACGGCCTTTGACAACACGCTATCGAACTGCCCGTGTCCTCTGTAGGAGTTTCTTGTTCGCGAGATGGAATGGGAGAAACAAACGCCCTAACGTGAAATTCGGTTTCCCGATGGTCGTAGTTTCTCTTCTAGTATAATCAGATTTCCTATATTCTACAAACTTTATACTTTCAAGACAGAGCCAGTCAGATACCAACTGAGTGAAGTCTAAGCCTGGGTGCTCCGGTCTCGGCACTAACGGAGCTGATATTTGGCCTCCGTCTCCTTCAGACCCAGAAGTCTTCATTAGCTCCCGTGTAGATGACTCCACCTTGACCATGTCATTTACGCCCTCCAACGTCGAATATTCAAGTTTTCCCACAAAGAGGAGAAAACTTTCTTCTTTGCATTGAAACACCAGGTCGTCAGAGTTCGAGATACTACATCTAGTGAAGCCTCACAGCCTATCTACGTTTCACCATGGCAACTTCGACTTCCACCGCAATTGAGCTGCAGCCCACTCGGGCGGCACGCTCTCAGCAGTCCATCACAGAGGACCCGAACCTCTTCTCTTCGGATCTAGACCCAGTCTTACAGACCTCTCGACTCAATGATTCCACTGTCCCTGATGGCGGGTACGGCTGGGTCGTCGTGAGTGCCTGCGCTGTCACCTGCTGGTGGTGGATTGGCACGCCATACTCTTGGGGCGTTATGCAGAGCGCCCTGGTAGAGAGGGATGTTTCTACACCAGCTGTCCTGGCGTTTGTGGGCTCGCTCGCCGCGTCGCTCATATCGGCCATGGCACTCGTGAACTCGGTCGTCCTGCAGAAATTCGGGGCCAGGAAAACGGCGATGATGAGCATGGTCCTGATCAGCCTCAGCGAACTCCTGAGCAGCTTCACTTTCCAGAACATCACGGCGCTCTTTTTCACGAGCGGATTCATGATGGGACTGGGTGTTAGGTAAGTTTAGACAACTTTATATTTGCTCAGCCATATGAAACGTTGTGCTAACATTAACACTTGCAGCTTGGGCTTTTCGGTGAGACCCTTTTTTTTACACATGCCACAGTTTGGGGTTAGAGCTGACGATGGACGTTTTAGGCTTCATCGACAATACCAGCCCAGTACTTTAGCCGTAGGCTGGGCCTTGCAAACGGTATTGTCTTCGCCGGCGGCGGTTTGGGGGGTGCCACCACCAGTTTCGCACTTGACGAGTTGCTAAATCGGCTTGGCCCAGCCTGGACCTTCCGGTGTCTTGCTCTCATGACATTTGCGACAGGTGTGCCTGCAGCGTACCTCATTAAAGAGAGAGTTCCCTATCAACAAACTGGATTTGTGGAATGGTGAGTAATCATCAAAGCTTTGCCTTGCCTCAAGCCCTACTAATCACAATGTACAGGCGACTCTTTAAGTCGTTTACTTTTGATGTTATTTTCCTGGCCGGCGCCATCGGGACTTTCCCGCTCTTTGTCCCTCCCTTCTTCATCCCACTGTATGCTAAATCCATCGGTCTTCCCTCTAGCGCCGGCGCGGGTCTCGTGGCAGCCTTCAACTTTTCTTCCGCGCTCGGTAGGATCGGCTGCGGCGCCCTCTGCGACAGGCTGGGAGCCTTGAACACTCTCCTGCTATCTCTTATCACCACTGGCCTCAGCATTCTCGCTCTGTGGCCGGCCTCGACAACCCTCGCCCCCATGATTGCCTTTGTGATCTTAAACGGGATATCAAACGGGGGGTTCTTCTCAACCATGCCGACCGTCGTGGGTAATGTGTTTGGATCGGCAAGGGTGACTACGGCAATGGGCATGATTGTCACCGGGTGGGTAGGCGGCTATCTTATG